CACATCTGGATGGAGAATATTATTTGATTTTTCAAATAATGGAAAAAGCACATATATAAGTATGCGAACATAGACAGGGAAGCTGATCATTAATGAACAATAAAAGTACAGCAGAAGTTCTAAATTTAAATATCTAGAAAGATTTTGCTTGTTCGGACTGTAATCTTGCTAGGTTACATGATAGTTTTCTTTATACTTCTTTTCTTTTAACTTTTTTATTGTTCAATTACAGTTGTCCCCATTTTCCCCCCTATAAACAGAAATTTAAATGTTTCAGAAATTATTATTTCCTAAGTTTGAACATACAATTGACTGTTTTAAATCAGTTTAACGTTTAAGTTGAACACAAAAGTTAAGAAAAAAAGGTTTTTAAACTTTTAACTGTATGTGACTTAATAACTAGGAACTTCTATATAGTTTTATATAGTTTCTGTGTTGAAGTCCCTTCTTGAATTTCAAAAACCTTATACAAAAAGATATAAGAAAGGCTCACCTTGGATTCCATTGCAAGAGTTCAGTGACTGAAATGCCAAGAAATCTTGTACTAACATACCTCATTATTAAGACAGATTCACTTCAGAGATGATAAAGATAGTTGTTGGGCTAATGGCCATACTCCAACATGGCATAAAATTCACTGAGATTAAGTGATGTTCACAACAGAGTCTGCTGATGACAATTAAATTTGTTATTTTTGTGACACCAGTAGGAGTATGTCCGGTGAAAATTCTATTTATTATTAGAAGAATATATAGGGGCTAACTCTAAACTATCCTCCAGATCACAAATAAAAGGTTACAAAGTAATATAAATATAATCTTTTTTTTTTTTTTTTTTTTTTTGCAAAATACACATCTTTTTGCCCTGTCCAGGTGGCTCAGTTAGTTGGAGCACTGTCCTGTACACCAAAAGGTTTGGGGTTCAATTCATGGTCAGGACACACACCTAGGTTGAGAGTTCGATCCCTGGTCAGGGCACACATGGAGGCAACCAACTGATGATTCCCTCTCATATCAATAGTTTCTCCCCCTCCCTTTCTCGCCTCCCCCCTTCTTTTTCCTTTAAAAATTAATGAACATTTCTTCAGGTGAGGATTAAAAAAATACACATCTTTTTTTGGTATTGTACATAATAGATTATTAAGGATGAGATGCCTATGAGAAGTCACAGAGTATAATGTAGGTCTGGGTATGACTGGCATATATGTTAATGGTTAATTGTTAATGCTACCTCTCTCTCCTTCCAGGCTCATAAAAACTGAGAATCCCCAAATCAAGAATTTCTACCAAAGACAAAGGAACAGCCATGGTATTAAAAGCAGGAAATTATGAGATAGTGTATGGGCTTCTAGAATAATTTAGTCCATTAAAGTAAATGGTCCTATTGTGACTGAAAACAAGAATGAGAAGCAATGTAATACCACATCCCAGACTCTTGTTACCTACTTGGACTGCTGCAACATCTTCTAAGTCAGAGCATCATTTTCAATAAGGCAGAGAATGAAAGCCACTGACCAACCAATCAAGTGCCTGAACTACATTAGTCCTGGGATGCTATAAACCAAGAGACAATCCAAGGAAATTAAATTATGTCCACCAAACCATCTAGTTTAAATAAGGACAAAACTGTCATATCTCACTTAAAATAAATTGCCTTACAATGGAGATACATGGAATGATCTGATTGAGTGATGTGGGCATCTGCAGACTCTGGTTTTAAAGATAAACAAGTTCTAACACTGTGGTTCAATTATGCACTATATGAGTATCGTCTCTGTAACTGTTTCAAACCGTATGTCATATTTGCCAGGCTACTGTTATCTATCAATAACGTAATATTAGAGACTAAAAAAGATTATATGATAAGCATTCCTACCCTCCGATGCCAAAGAACCAGAACCTTTTGTGATTGTGAGTTAGTAATAATGCCGAGGTGTCCTAAAGGTCCTGTCTTTAAAAGGTCACATTATTGCATGCATTAATTCACTTTTACATTGGCTGAATAATCTATACATCACAGATACTCAAAAACTCCTACAAGAAGGAATTTTGGGACTAAGATTATCAGCTACAGTTTCTAAGAGTTCTTACTTACCAGGGAATAAATTTAGCAGCAGCAATGCCAAAAAACGTATAAAATTAGTCTTTCACTTTCAACATTAATTATACCTGAGTTCAATTTTTTGTTCTACTAAATTCTGACAACATGGTCAATTGGCTTTATGAGCCATAATTTCTTCATCTGGAAAATAAGAAAATAAGACACTCTATAAGAGGAATAGGCAGATAACTTAAATACTGAAGAGAACATACTTGATTTAGTACTCTGCACGTAACAACTCCTGAGTAACATTTTTCCATCTTAAAAAAATTAAAACATTTGTTTTTCCTCCTCTGCCTCACATTCCCCCTTCTGATCTACAGATGGGTACTTCTAATAACCCTTAAGGACTATTCTACTCTAAGGACTCTAGGGAGCACTAAAGAGTCAGTCCAAGAAGTATTTTACCACCATGATAAGGTAGCTATTAACTCCACTCTACAAATTAGAAATCATAAAATGAGAGATTTGTGACTCGATGGTAGACAAGTTTGAACTACTGCCATGGAGGAGATTGGGCAACTTACCACAGTGCTAAACTATAAGGAAAAGTATCCTTTCCTCCAACCAAGTCCAAAAATAAATGCTATTCCAAAAGCTAGTGGACAAACATTAATGCCCATCTGTGTGAGGCGGAAGCAGAACCTATATTCCAGGTGCAGTATGACTTGATCTCTTAGCCGTGGTGCCTCAAGTGACACAATGCTATTCTTTAAGAGGGAATTTAAAATCTAGGTTAGAAGCTATCAGAGAAAAGGAATAATGCATAATCGTCTGCTCCCATTGTTTGTGTGTGTGTGTGTGTATGCGTGGAAATTAACTAGAATGTAATCAATAATGATAGTTAGGTTTAATGTGTATCAGCATAGACTTTCCTGTATATTTTTCAAATTATTAAGTTGATTTTACAAAAACAATTCTCATATACAACACTGAAAATACTTTTTGGTTCTTCCAAGGTTACAGCTACAACTCTTCCTCTGCAACCCTTCCCCTTCGATGCCCACACACACATTTTTTCCTGCCAGGCATTTCAGCTAGAACAGTGCGTGGCTGTTGTGGAGGCACCCGGTGCCCCATTTCCTCAGGTGTCACTGCTGAATAGGTGAGCTACACGACATGAAATGTGTGCTGATCTCCTGATCTCTTTGTTGCTTTTATAAGTAAAATAAGACCAAATCTCAACGATATAATTGGTTTGGGAGAGCCATGATAGTCAGATATGAAATACCACTATAAACAGGACAAGTACCCTAGGGAACAATGGTTTCCTAAAACAATGCATTGAATACTTCAGTTTCTCAGGAGGAAGATGCTGTCACACAGGCCTGAGGAACAGAAAAGCTCAATCTTACACAGATTTGCTTTTAAATTTTACTGCCAGGAGAAAATTCTGGGAAGGAAGGCTCTTGTTGCCTAACAAGTAAATCAAGGATCACTGTACCAAATCTATTACCACAACAAAGTCTAGGTTGTTTCTTCCTTTGACAAATACCCCCAAATAACTTCTACAATTTTAATACTGGGTCAAACAGATACAAACAAATTATTCCTACTAACTGTTCATGAGACTGACCAAATTGAAAACTAAGGAATCTGAGTAACCTCAGCACACCTTGGGAGAAAAGCAGCTTATTTAAAAAAAAAAAAAAAAAAAAAAAAAAAGGCTAAATAACCTTATGGAGAGAATGAGAAACTTGGCACAAGAATTTCACTGCTAAGAAAATAGTTTCTTTAAACAATAAATCAGTCTTTAAAATTTAAAACACACTTCTCATTCATTGTAACCACTGATTAGAAGATTTAACATGGGTTATCAAGAGTTCCTAATATTCAGTAATTTTTGTCATTTAACCTAGACTTTAAAAGTAAAATCTGTGGCTAAAGAAACCCTTTAGCTTGAGAAAGTGAGACACTTTTTTTGCACATTAAACATAAAGATAAGATCTGATGAAAATAATGGTATGTTCACCTACCCAAGTACTCACAGGTAAAGTTATAAAAGATGTTTAATTACCCATGTGGGTGGCAGTGATAATATGTACTATGAACTTCAAGAGATTTTGTTAATGCCTCTGGAAAAGTTAAGTTGCTAACCCTAATGGAAAAAGAAAAGCAAAAAAAAAAAAAGCCTCCAAAACCCTGTAACACTGCAACAGATTTAAGAAACAAATGGCATTGTTTCCACAAGCTGGGTAAGACCTTCTTCAGGGACACCACTGAACTTTGAGAGCTGCCTATTCAGGAGGCATTTGCTACAAATTTGCAGTTGTGAAGCTACAGCTAGAGATTCAACACCAAAGAAGAGCGGCAGAGCAGGAGGGGGCAGGGGGCGGTGAGGTATGAGGTCAGAGACCAGTGAGGATCAAAGCCGTGATATAATGCATTTGTATGTAAACAAAATGTTTCATGCACATGAACCAGACAACAAAAGCAGCCACATACAGACATACCCATACACATGCTAAGAGAGAGAGAAAGAAAAACCATTATATTCAAATTCAGATTAAATCTATCAGGTACAAATCAGGTACAGGAAGGGGTAGTAGTTCACTATGAGTCTCTACTTGAAATTCCTGAAATGCCACTACAAAACCTGTCTAACACCTTCTCTTCCTGGTGCTCCAACAAGTCATTCAGAACGCATTTTACAAGCGCAGGGCAAGTTGTGGGATGAAAAGTGCTATGTGCAACTAGAAACCTGCCCTCTCCCGCACCAAACCTTTCCCCAGAGGGGGAAATACAAGTCTTATTGGAAAGAGATTAAAACACAGAGGATGGGAAGGGGGTAGTGGGAGTGAACAGAAACCGAGCGAGAGAGAGAGAGAGAGAGAGAGAGAGAGAGAGAGAGAGAGAGAGAGAGAGAGAGAGAGAGAGAGAACTGAGAATTCCAGAATTACCTGAAGTCTTCTTCCCTTTCTCCCCCTTTACTGCCAGTCACCTGGCGGGTAACTTCAGACTCCCACCAAAAGACACTGTCATCTCCTAAGGTGCTGCTCTCACTTTCGGTCTCCATCTTCTATTCCAAAATGCGAACCTCCAGGCATGGAGTAAAGAACACCGATGTTCGGGCTGTCCGGCTGTGTTTGTGTGCACTCAGGTGCGCGGCCGGCGCCCCGGCGATCTGCGAGCACGCCCGGCCGGTCGGCTGCCTGCTGGTGTCATCACAGCTGGGCGCAGACAGGAAACCACGGGCGGCACACTCACCGCGTCGGCCTGCGGCACCTGCGACACCCAGACCCTCCCACGGCCTCCGGCTCTGTGACCTACATCACCAAATGCAGGACCCAGAGGAAGGCGTTTTTCCAGTAATTACTTATTTAATAACTATTTTTAGCTATTCTCAAAGTATCCAATTAAGTTGAAAATACATGTTTTCAAAATGCAGGCTTTTCTTATTTATATCCTTCTGCTATTTCAGACTTAGGAAAAAGGAACAGAAAACCAGAAAAGAGAATAGTGTGTGTCAAGTTCTCCCGGGCCAGCCGCGATGGGAGCACACTTGTAGATCTCGCAGTTAAGGAGGATCACAATGTACAGAGAAGATAAGTCTGAGGACCTGCCCAACTTCATGCCTTCTTAATATTACACAACCGCCCTTCCTTCCCCTCAGCCATAACTGTTACACACACGTTTGCTTGGGTATCCAAAGCAGGACATTGAGAGCCAAGCCTGTCCATCGCCTTGAAGAAACAAGCGTCCAAAGCTAAAATACGCTGAAAATTATATCAAAGAAAAAGCATGCAACATATTTACAAGTCATTTAAATGACAGATGCTGATAGCAGCAATAAAATGGCTTTCTGGGAATTGAGTGAAACGTATACAGCGTCTAGGACACCGGCACTTAAAAAACAGCCCTGTTGGTGCCACCCACTGACATGTCATATAGTCATAGGTGTTCAGGCCTTTTAACTGAGCAGCAGCAAACTCCTGTGCCCTGATTTTCTATTAAATCTGACAGATTAAAAAAAATTAAAGGTATCCACTGGGATGCCCATGAATTTTCATATTTGAAAATAAGGAAAATGAAACTTTAGTCCATTTTATTTATACAATTTTTTCCCTCCTACAAAATTATAACTTACATAATGTGTTACTGTTTCAATATTGCTGCTTCAAAACTCTGAATCATTTTCATCTACTGACTGTGGTCATTAAATGTATTTCTATTAAAAACTGAAATTCACTGTCAAGCCTGGGTATAGATTTACAAACTGTTCTTTATAGCAGCAAATTTGGAAAAAAATTCCTGAACAATTTACACAGAGATATCTTACAAACCAGTCTATTAATTTCCACTCAAGACAAATCCATAGCAAATTTTGGCCTGAATAATCAATTTTAAAAATTAAAGGATTTTTGAAATCTCTCTATGCTATAAATCCCCTACCATATTCCAGATTCTGAAGAGATGGAATTTAATACCTCCTTCACTCCATCCATCAAAATAAATTCCCAATGAATCAAAAATTTAAATGTAAAAATAAAACCATAAAAGAAAATCACAGAAAAGCTTTTATCATCTCACAGTGGGAAAGTCCTTTCTAAGCATAATTTTAAGAAGCCCTGAAAATAAAAATCTGATACATTTTACATTTTTATGAATTTTAAAATTATATTTAATATATATATGGGGAAGTCAAGGCAAAAATAAATAATTAAGAAAAAAATATTTGGAACATATCACCCAGTGTTCATTTCCTTAACATATAAAGGGTTCCTATATATATGAAAGACTCAACAACCCAAAACAAGCAACAAATATAAACATAATAATAATAGAAAAATACAAAATAACCTTAAAACATAACTAGTATTTAATTTCACGCATAAATGCAAGAAAACCACAATAAGATGCCTTTTTTAATCAGGCAAAGATTTTTAAATGTTTTTAACAAACTGTTTGAAACGAGATGTGGGAAAATAAATACAGACCGTTGATGGAAATATAAAATGGTATGACCTCTGTGCAAGGCAATTGGCAAAACCTACCAAAATTCAAAATGCACAAATTTTTGGCCCAGCAACTCCCCATCCAGGAAATTATCTTATTTTCACCACGTGGAAATAAGAGATGAATAGAAGTGTTCATTGTAGTAAACTTCATAATCGCTAAATAGAATCGCAAAAACAACCTAACTTGCCCATTAACAAAAGCCAGATAATTAAATATGGGATATCCATAGAATGGCAATGCTATACAGCTGAGTAAGTGAGAAACACAAGGCAAACACGACACAATGTCATGATATGAAACAAACCCTAAGGGACACTTGAAGACAAAGAAGAAAGAGGTGAAAGTATAGAATAGTATGCATATGAAATCCTGCAGTTCATATTTTTGAAACACCTATGACTATGTATGTGCAGAATATCGATGGAGGGACAGCACAAGTGACAGTTGTCTCCAAAGGAAAAAATACAGCTGGAGAAGAAGAATGAGATGGAGACTGTTTTTTACTGTATCGTGCACATAGAACCCTCGCAAAAATAAGTAACTTATTTTAAATGTAACCTTTTTATCCCTCAGTAAAGAATCAGATCTTTAAATATTATTTTAAGTATCTTGGTGTTCTTTTTTTCAAACAATTTCAACTCCTTTAATATGTTTCTATTAACCCTATTTACTTTTTCTTTTAAATCATTTCTTTTGCTCTTCCATTACGGTGATTGGTTTACCGCACTTTCTCAAGCCCTTTTAAACACGAAAAAGTGGACTGTAAGCACTACTTTCCCACAGAACACTGACGGCAGCCGAATGTCTCCCACCAATCTGCCCTGCACCAAGGCAGACCGCCCAAGGCTTGTTGTCACAGTTTTGACTCGACTCGAGGAGTGGTCAAGTTTGTTTTTAACTTTAAAACCAACATGTGCTCCATTTTCTTTTCCCTTCTTTACAGCTAATGAAAATCTAGCACAAACAAAAAGTACTGAATAGCAGGAAGCAGGAAAGAAAGCAGAGTCAATCCAATCACTGAAGCTATGAAGTTCAAAGAGGGGCCTATTCCTGAAGACCCCATGATAGCTCTTCCTGCCCGGCTTACAGCCTGATCATCAGGAGTTAACACGAATTGAATCCCTTCTCCAGGTATTTCCCACGGCACCCAATGAAAAACCAAAATCCATGGTATTTGCATTTCGTCAATAAAGAAATCTAATCTCCATACTACACAAGTGCAGAGAATGCATCTACTTAACTATCAAATTCGTAAGCCACATCACTTTCTTTCACTGTTTCCCTTTACAAAAATTCACAAAATCCAACCGGGTAGTACTATGTTCCAACACTCAGGAGGCTCAAAGTACTCTAACCCAAGGCGAAAAGAAAGAACATGGTATCAACATTAACATATTCTACCAAATGAAATGAAAGTAGTCAAGTAGTCAGAGGCTACAGAGAACAACCCATGCAACTACCCAGCCATGGGCACATACAATGAGCAAGCTGTATTAACTTCAGTATTCTGTTGGCTGACTCAATAAACAACAAAACAGAAACAACTTGCATTATCAGACACATTAGATTTCAGAGATTTCAGGAAATCCTCACTGGTCTGGGGGGGCACTTATTTTTGCTTTCAATTTACAGAAAAAAATAAATCAAAACTATGTATAAGAAATCAAAACTATATAATTGTTAACATGTAAAGTCTGAAACAAGTTATAATCTTAAAAAGCAATGAATTAAATGCTACAAAAATACATCTACAAATAGTGGTTAAATGAAAATATTGGCAAAAAGTAATCTATAACATTTAACAGAGTGAAATCATCTTTGTAAATAACCATTCAATACTAAAACAATATTTCTGAGTAAATCTATAGATCTAAAGAAAGAAAGTGGATCACAATTAATGTAAAAGTATAGTGTTGAAAATTAAGAATTATAGATTGTGCTGCTATGAACATTGGGGTGCATAGGTTCAGTCAAGTGTTGGAAGCAACCTAAGTGCCCAGCAGTAAATAAGTGGATCAAAAAACTATGGTACAGTTACACAACGGAATACTGCCCTGCAGAAAGAGAGAAAGAGAGAGAGAGAGGGAGAGAGGGAAGGAGAGAGAAGGAAGGGAGGGAGGGAGGGAGGGAGGGAGGGAGAAAGGAAGGAAGGGAGGAAGGAAGGAAGGAAGGAGGGAAGGAAGGAAGGAAGGAAGGAAGGAAGGAAGGAAGGAAGGAAGGAAGGAAGGAAGGAAGGGCTGCTGCCCTTTGCGATGGCATGGATGGAACTAGAGGGCATCATGCTAAGTGAAATAAGCCAGGGGGTGAAAGAAAAGTACCAGATGATCTCACCTGTAAGTGGAACATAATCAACAAAACAAACAAGCAAGCAAAACAGAACCAGAGACATGGAAATAAAGAACAAACTGACGGTAACCAGAGGGGAGGGGGGAGAGGGATAACAGGAAAAAAGGGGAAGGGTCATCAAGGAACACATGTGAAGGACCCATGGACAAAGCCAAAGGGGCGAAGGATTGAGGGTGGGAGGCAGGGGAAAGTGGTGACGGGAAAAATGGAGACAACTGCCTGTGCTTGAACAACAATTAAAAAGTAAAAAGAAAAAAGAAAAAAAATAAATAAATTAAGAATTCATTATGCCACAACTGATTTGATAAAAGATCCTGTAAAGACAATGAAGGTTGAGTATCCTTTAATATAATGTTCAATTAAAGGAAATATTTCCTGAGTTAGAATTTTGATTGAATATGTCATAGTTTGTGAGCTGTAGAGCAAGAAAGCTACCACATTTATAAATTTAGGGTCAGAAAATTACAGTCTTGGCATACACCACTGTACCTGGACCTCCTCCTAATGTTAACAGTACTACAAAAAATGCTAAATATAAGTTTAATGAATAACAATCGGGGGAGAAACCAAATGATCATCTCAGTGAAGACCTGGGAAGCAGTCTGGGAGGGACTCAAGGGAAATCACTAGGGAACGTAAACTGTGAATAAAGAAGGGGGAAGGGAAATGGGTCGTACCAAGCCTGAGTATTTATTCAAGGTACTGCATAAA